CTTTCTGACCCCATTTCCGCCCATTCCAACCCCAAAATCCCACCATTCCAACCCCAGATTCCCAACATTTTCCCATTTTTTTCCCATTTTCCAGGTTCCCAGCTGCCTTTTTTCCACAGCTCCTCCACCATCCAACTCCTCAAGGAGCGCTTCCACCCTCATTCCCGTTTTCCACTCTCCAGACTCCCAACTCCCTGACTCCATTCCAACCCCAGATTCCCATTTTTTCCCCATTTTTTCCCATTTTTTCCCATTTTCCAGGCTCCCAGCTGCCCTTTTTCCATAGCTCCTCCACCATCCACCACCTCAAGGAGCGTTTCCATCCTCATCCCATCCCTTTTTCCCAGCTCCCTGACCCCATTCCAACCCCAGATTCCCATTCCATTCCCATTTTTCCCCATTTTCTCCCATTTTTTCCCGTTTTCCAGGCTCCCAGCTCCCGTGTTTCCACGGCTCCTCCACCATCCGCCACCTCAAGGAGCTCTCCCACTCTCATCCCATCCCTTTTTCCCAACTCCCCTGAGTTTCCTCCCCCATTCCATTCCCATTTTATCCCATTTTTTCCCATTTTCCCCCATTTTTTCCCGTTTTCCAGGCTCCTAGCTGCCCTTTTTCCACAACTCCTCCACCATCCGCCACCTCATCCCCATCCTTTTTTCCCAACTCCCTGACCCCATTCCCTCTATTCCATTCCCATTTTCTCCCATTTTTCCCCATTTTTTCCCATTTATTCCCATTTTTTCCCATTTTTATCCCATTTTCTCCCATTTTTTCCCATTTTCCAGGCTCCCAGCTGCCCTGTTTCCACGGCTCCTCCACCATCCACCACCTCAAGGAGCGTTTCCACCCTCATTCCCGTTTTCCGCTCTCCAGACTCCCAACTCCCTGACCACATTCCATTCCCATTTTATCCCATTTTTTCCCATTTTTTCCCATTTTCCAGGCTCCCAGCTGCCGTGTTTCCACAGCTCCTCCACCATCAGTCCCCTCAACCCTCCTCCCATCCCTTTTTCCCAACTTCCTGACCCCATTCCAACCCAGGTTCCCATTTTTCCCCATTTTTCCCCATTTTTCCCACTTTTTCCCACTTTTTCCCATTTTTTTCCCATTTTCTCCCATTTTTTCCCATTTTATCCCATTTTTTCCCATTTTTTCCCATTTTCCAGGCTCCCAGCTGCCGTGTTTCCACGGCTCCTCCACCATCCGCCACCTCAAGGAGCGTTTCCACATGAACCTGACGGAGGAGCAGCTGCAGCTCCTGGTGGAGCAGTTGGT